ACTTCGCACATCGCGCCAATGCTTTAGTCCAGCTTACTCGTAAAGGTGTACCGTTTGAATGGGGTCCGGAGCAAAGTCTAGCACAGGAGGACCTTAAGCAGGCCGTCCTAGACTCGCTGGCGTTGCGTCCCATTGATTACACGTCGGAGTCCCCAGTCATCCTTGCTGTGGATACCTCCTATCTCGCTGTAGGGTATTACCTCTGCCAACAGGACAGTGAAAATTCCAAGCGTCGATTTTATAGTCGATTTGGCTCCATCACCCTCAATGACCGCGAGCGACGGTTCTCCCAGCCCAAACTCGAGATCTATGGCCTGTTTCGCAGTCTCCGAGCACTCCGTCTTTATCTCCTAGGGGTCCGAAATTTAATCATCGAAGTGGACGCACGTTACATCAAGGGGATGCTTCAGAACCCAGATATAGCTCCGTCAGCGAGTATCAACCGATGGATCGTGTCCATTTTGACATTTCATTTTACCTTGGTACATGTTCCAGGCAAGGCACATGGTCCGGATGGCCTTAGCCGTCGTCCGCCCCAGCCAGGAGATAGACCCGTGGACCCAGATGATGAGTTCGACGACTGGATCGACCGCTTACACAGTTTTCTCCACTTCGTCAACCCAGTTCCGTACCTGAGGGCACCAGGGAACTTAGCAATATTTGCGAACACGGTGGAAAGCGATCCGGACCGACCGGAGGAAATTCTGGAGTACGCTGACTTCCCCCGGAGCGAGAAGGAACTAAGGATTGATCGTCGACTCCGTCTCCTACCTGTGTGGTTTCAGACCTTAAGGTGTCCGGACCAGCTGCCTGTGGACGAGTATGAGAGTTTTGTGAAGTACGCCACACAGTTCTTTTATTCAGGTGGGAAATTGTGGCGGAAACACGTCCAAGGGTCCCACCAGGTCGTACTCTTCGAGGAAGATCGAGTCGGAGCACTCCGGGCTTGTCATGATAATGTAGGCCACAGGGGAATTTACGCTATGAAGGCACTGTTATTAGAGCGTTTCTGGTGGCCCTCCGCAGTCAAGGACGTTGCCTGGTATGTTAAGACATGCCATATATGCCAGACGCGTCAAACTCGGCAAGTGCTCATTCCTCCAGTTGTTGCGACTCCGGCACCCTTATTTTCTAAAGTCCACATCGATACTATGCACCTTCCTAAGTCCGGCGGCTTCGGCTACATTGTTCAGGCCCGCTGCGTCCTCACATTTTACCCCGAGGCGAAGAAACTATGTGCAGAAAATAGTCAAGCGATTGGGGACTGGATCTATGAGGACTTACTCTGTCGCTGGGGTGGACTCCGGGAAATTGTTACCGACAATGGACAGCCCTTCCTTAAAGCCCTCGAGTACCTGGAGAAGTGTTACCACATCCACCACATTCGAATTAGCGGATATAATTCCCGGGCGAATGGAGTGGTCGAACGCCCTCATTTTGACTTTAGGCAAGCGCTTTACAAAGCCGCAGACGGTGACGCCGCTCGCTGGTCGCAAGTATTTCACTCCGCACTTTGGTCCGAGCACATAACAATTAGGCGATGCATGGGATGCTCCCCGTACTTCGCCGTCACCGGCTCCCATCACCTCATTCCACTCGACATCATCGAAGCGACTTACCTACAGCCCCCTCCATTGTCAATTCTCTCCAGTGAAGATCTTATCGTCCGCCGGGCGATAGCCTTGCAGAAACGTGACGCACAAGTTGAACGACTCCATTCTCGCGTCCTCCAGCACCGCATCGAGGCAGCAAGGTGCTTTGAACGTGATCATGCCGCAACCATCCGTGACTTTAATTTCAAGCGCAGCGATTTGGTCCTGGTTCGTAATACGAAGATAGAAAAATCCCTCAATCGTAAAATGCGGCCCAGGTACCTCGGACCACTTATCACAGTGTCCCGGAACCGTGGCGGAGCTTATATTCTGGCCGAACTCGATGGTACGCTCTTCGACCGACCCTTTGCCGCGTTCCGCGTCATTCCCTACTTCGCAAGAAAATCTATTACGCTCCCGGAGGATTTTACAGATGTCGGCGAGGATCAAGTACGAAGAATGGAAGAACAGGACAACCATGGGGACGATGAAGCAGACCAAGATCCTCAAGACGAAGCGAACTGAGGACAGTTCAGATTTCAGTCAGGGGGAGGGAAGCGATGGGCCCCATATACCCAAGCATTTTCGCATTTTTCGAGTTCTTTGCATTTGTTTCGCTCACTTTATTTTTCTCCGCTTCTTGATTCGTGCTTTAGTTAGGACCCACATAAAACACAAATATCGTGACCATTTCTATCATTTTATTCGATCCTCTACTCTGCGCACCACTTAAACGCTCTCCTATTTGCTTATTTTATATTATAGAACGGACCCTCTTTGTTTATCTGATGATTTCACCCTCCTTATTCTGAGCAGACAATGTTCATTGCAGATATAATACACAGGACGAAGGACCACAGCCAAGGCAACCGGAGCAAAATACATGGTACATGAAGCAGACGATGAAGACAAGGGTAAAGAAAACGATCCGCACTTAGGAGAAAGGGCTCGGAGCACGACCCTGTATCTCGCCCTCACCGACCAGATCCTCTGCCTCCGTACGTGACCCCTCCGAAGACTCCTGGTCCATCCGTTCCTCGATACTCGCAAGACGGGTGTGGGCAGTCGAGATCTGGTTACGCAGGGCGAGCACTGAATTATTCACCTCGATCCGCAGGTCATTCACTGCCATTGACACCCTCCCATGCTCCTCCTGCAGGTTGCGCAGGTCCGCGCGTGACTCCTCGAGGGCCTTCCGCACTTCCTGCAGTGCCTGATCATCGACCCTCCGCGCCTCATCCAACTCGCGGCGGAACCGTGTATTTTCCTCCCGCAGGCTTACCACATTTTCACGAGCCACAATTGACTGCTCCCGCAGCTCTGCGATAATCTGGTAGAGGTGTCCGAATTGGTCCGGGGCTATCTCGCTGCGAGGGAATGGAGAGACAAGGGAAAGGTCGGAGCTCGGCGTACGGGAGAGGGGAACGGCCAGGGCCTCTGGACCAAAATTCAGGAGCGAGGCGACCGGACTAAGAGCGACTGAAGGCGGGTATGCCGGACGCGCAGACGAAGGTCCCGGAGTAGGCGCAGGACGCGAGTCGTGGCTCGTGGCCTTCTCCTTACCTTTAGGACCAGGCGGAGGCGAGTCGACTGTTGGGATAATTCAGCATTGTCAGAGCGGCGGAGTTAATTCCTGCGGCACTTACTAGTAATGCTCTCCATCTCCAGTCATGGTTTCTTTGGACTGCCCCGCGGCCGTCCGACAACCACTGTGCTCCCCTCCTCCACCTCCGCTTCCTCCTCACTGCTCTCTGCCCGTCAGCCCCGTCCGTCTGCGAAACTGCACCGTGTTTTCTTCTTGGCGCACTCCTGACAGGCCTCAGCCTGCCCCAAGACTGGGACATGGCATCGAAGCTTCCGCTCCGTGCACCCACGACACTAGCGACTATTTAGCTCCGGAGTCGGCAGAAGTCGTCATAAATATTTCAACATACCGCCTTTCGTGCCTCCTGATACTCCACCTTCGCCGTACCCCGTGGACGACCCCGACCGCGCGGTTTGGGCCGAGCTGACGCTTCGGCGACGTGCTCAGTGGAGGGGGAGTCCTCGAGAGTCCGCTTGGAGGCCCCGCGAGTCCTAGCAAGCGTCGGAGTATTCTCGAGAGTTGGAGCAGCAGCCGGAGCTGTCGTAGGAACCACCCGAGTAGTTGACCCTGCCGCCGGAGTTACGGGGAAGGTCAGATCGAACTGGAAAGCATTCAAATTGCTCCCCTCTTCCAGGGAGCGAGCGCGTAACCTGTCCAACACCGCCGAAGGCAGATGGACTTTTGCGAGGAGCACTGCGCTCACTCTGGCGGTGCCCACATCGCTGCTATC